CATTTGACAACATTTGTACACGGAGAGCTTCTTTGAAACTGTTCTTTGATATCTTTGTTCTGACGGATGCTGGGATGCTGGGTGGCTGTTCCATACTCGGTGTTCTTGACATCTTGACGTCTGTTTGGCTCTGGGAGGTTTTCAATAGAGGAATTCGTAGGAGAGAGGGATTGTGTGTGGGATACCTTTCGGGGAATGGATTGTGGAGGAGGGGGGAGGGGGGTGGGGGGTGGAGATGGAGGGAAAGGGGGAGGGGGGGTGTTGGGATAAGGGTAGAGGGGTGGGGGAGAGGGGGGGAAGGGGACAAGGGGGCGGAAGGTGTTGGGGTAAGGGTAGAGGGGGGGGAGAAGGGGGCAAGGGAGGGAAGGTGTTGGGGGTAAGGGTAGATGGGGTGGGGGAGAAGGGGACAAGGGGGGGAGGTGTTGGGGTCAGGGTAGAGGGGTGGGGGAGAGGGGGGGGAGAGAAGGGGACAAGGGAGGGGGAAGGTGTTGGGGTAAGGGTAGAGGGGTGGGGGGGAGTATGAAGTGGGGGAGGGATGGGGGAAGGTAATTACGGAGAGAGAGAGAGAGGAAAGAAGGAAAAGGAGGAAAGAGGGTGATCGAGGAAATGGCAGAAGACAAAGAAAGGAATTTAAGAAAGAGAAATAGGAGAGAACTGGTAGTAGTTTTAAAGCTAAGGAGGGGGGGAGGAGGAGGGGGTAAGACCAGGGGGTTAAATAGTGTATGGGAGAGAGGGAGGGGAGGAAATAGTGGAAAGAGGAGAGTAAAACTAGGAGATAAAGGAGGTGGAATAGAGAGGAAGTAGATAATGGGAGTGGGCGGTGAGAGGTGATAAGGGGGGGGGGGTATAGAGTAGGGGCGAGAGGAGGAGGGGTGGGGGGGGAGAAGATTAGAGGGCAGGAAATTAAGTGGGGGGGGGGGGGGGGAGGGGAAAAGGGAGAAGTAGCAGTACAATAAAAAATATATATATATTTAGTTTAATTCCAAATTATCATTTTTTTCATTTCATTTATTTTTCTCTTCTCCTCGCTCTCCTTATCTATTCTTCTTCTTTTTTTCTTCTGTTTCTCCTCTTCCTTTCTTCTCCCTCTTTTTTTTTTCTTCTTCTTCTTCTTCTTTTCTTCGTCTTCTTCCCTGTTCCTAGCAAGGGTTTTAGATTATATTAAGAGGATCGACAAATTATTTTCTCTCTCTCTTTCTCTTTCTCTCTCTCTCTCTTTCTCTCTCTCTCTCTCTCTCTCTCTCTCTCTCTCTCTCTCTCTCTCTCTCTCTCTCTCTCTCTCTCTCTCTCTCTCTCTCTCTCTCTCTCCCTCTCTCTCTCTTCTCTCTCTCACTTTCTCTCTGTCACTCACTCACTCATTCACTCACTATATCTATCTATCTGTCTCTGTCTCTCTATCTATCTATCTATTTCTCTCTCTCTCTCTCTCTCTCTCTCTCTCTCTCTCTCTCTCTCTCTCTCTCTCTCTCTCTCTCTCTCTCTCTGTTTCTTCCTCCGTTTTACTCTCTCTCTCCTCTCTCTCTCTCTCTCTCTCTCTCTCTCCTCTCTCTCTCTCTCTCTCTCTCTCTCCTCTCTCTCTCTCTCTCTCTCTCTCTCTCTCTCTCTCTCTCTCTCTGTTTCTTCCTCCTTTTTACTCTCTCTCTTCTCTCTCTCTCTCTCTCTCTCTCTCTCTCTCTCTCTCTCTCTCTCTCTCTCTCTCTCTCTCTCTCTCTCTCTCTCTCTCTCTCTCTCTCTCTCTCTCTCTCTCTCTCTCTCTCTGTTTCTTCCTCCTTTTCACTCTCTCTTCTTTTTCGCACTGATCCTGGTTTTAAGAAAAAGAAGAAGAGAGAGAAGAGGAAAAGGAAGATTGGGAAAGTATGCAATATGCTACACATCTTGGGACAAATAAGGCTTAATTTATTCGTTGATATCATGTAAAATGACCTTTAGAAGCTCTGAAATTAAGATTACGAAAATATGAAGGGAGGTGGAGCAGGAGGAGGAGGAGGAGCAAAGAGGGGAGGAGGAGAAAGAGGAAGAGGAGGTGAAGGAGGATGAGAAGGAGGAGGAGGAGAAGGAGGTGGAGGAGGAGGAGAAGAAGTTGGAGAAAGAGGAGGAGGAGGAGGAGAGGAAAAAGAGGATGAGGAGAAGGTGGAGAAAGAGGAGGAGGAGAGGAAGAAGAGGAGGAGGAAAGGAGGAAGAAGAGGTGGAGGAGGAGAAGGAGGAAGAAGTGCAATGGCGAAAAGAAGGAGATAAGAAAGCCCGGAGATTGCACGGAAAGGATAATGCCAAAAGTGATAAAGTATAGAAAAACAAAGTATATGAAAAGAAAGAGGAAGAAGAAGAAGATGAAGAAGTGTGTAAACCAGAAGCTGATAAAAAAGGAGAAAGAGAAAAAAAAATCTTAGACGAAAAGAATACACGAAAGAAAGGGGGGAAAAAATACGAGAGAGAGAGAGAGAGGAAAAGAGGAGGAGGAGGAGAAGAAGTTGGAGAAAGAGGAGGAGGAGGAGAAGAAGTT